CAAGCTGTCTTCTTTCAGCATTTTAATTTTTCAGCCTTCTCATGAAATATAATACATTAACATTATGGACATTACTGTGCTCTTACTTGTCACAGATCTCACAGCTCCTTACTAACACTGGAGCCTCAGGTAACAGTGTGAAATAGGTACAGATGCTTAGAAAATGGCAAGTATATTTTTGCAACAACAACAAAAATCCTAAAGAGGAGCAAAACTGGCTTATTTATTTCTAAGAAAGTTCCAAGAAGGCTTCCAATTTATGGTGAAAAACTGAAATTTAAAAAGATTTGGAGAATTCATCAGAAGAAAAATGTATTTTAAACCTGTTGGCAAAAGCTTGATCTTTGAATTGACACTTTTTGGTTTTCAAAACTAAAAGAACTTGCCCATTTTAGGAAAAACAGAACAATCTTGTAAATGTAGAATAAAACAGTGTGTTTATTCCCAATCATTTTCATAATCTGTTTTCCATGTGTGAAAGTATTGACCAATTTTATCCAACAAATGTTAACCCTTTGATAACCCTGGCTTGGCAGTCTGTACTTACCTGAGTAGCGTTTTAGCAACTTCACCAACTGCCCTGTAGCTACTTAAGGAAATAACACCCAACTGGGGTTAAAGCATTTACAATAAAGCAGAACATCTGATAATATGTCAATACATGAAGTATTTCATACTTGCTTCTTCCCATGCAAGATTTTCGCAGACTCCTTAGCATCTACTCCTTTTGTTGTTACCACTACAGCCTCCTGTGTCTTTACCAGCAGCCTGACTGTCCACGCTTTCCATCAGTCTCAGGTGTTTCTGTTTGAAATCTCCAGAGTCTCTGGACCAAGTTATCTGGTCCTACAGGGCCTGACATCCTCCCCAAGAGGCACGAGGCACCTCGGTGTTCCATATCCTCCATTTCTGCAGCTGACAGGGTTTTCTCAACTATTTCCAAAACCACCACAAAGCACAAAGACAAAACAGCTAATTCAACCACAGTAACCACAGTTTGGTTTTTTTCCCCTGAAGGGTCACGCCAGCTCTTCATCCTTTCTCCAGTGCCTTCATCCCCCACTACTATGCACAGACCCCCCTGTCTCTCCCTTTCCACCCCTCCCCTCCCTGCCTGGCTCCAGTGCTGGCCCTGGAGTTCAAGGAAGTTCAGAACTTAACTGAGAATTGCCAAGAAGTGATTTTCTCTTAAAATCCACATTTCTAAATCTAAATTCACTGTCACACTAGAGTTTTTCTGTCCCGGTTTGAGGTAAAAAATCATATGAGTATACAAACATGAACTGCTAGTTGGTCTGAAGTCTGTTTTATTTACTCTTACATATACAGCCTTTGTGGCTACTCTAAATTGTTCGTCTGTTTTTTCACTATTTAATGTCTTTTTGTACCATTAATTTTTACTATATCCACCCAGCCATTAAACCATAACAACTTAAAATCACTATGTCAATAGGGCCGTTTGTAGCTTTACTTGCTTGTGAATCAACATATGGCAATCTGGCTCTTGGGCATCCAACTCTGCCTTTTTCAGCACGCAATCAGTGCACCTACACCAACCTCCTGAGCCCAATGATAATTCTTATTTAAAGTGTTGACAGGTTTACTGTGTCTCAGTAGTGCTCAGAGCTGAACCCAGTCCCCCAGTGCAGCCCCATCAGAGTAACACAGAGGGACTCTTCCCCCCCCTGCTTTAGGATATCTCTGCAAGTAAATTTGTCTTGCCTTGTCTTTCTGCTATGCGATGTTTTTTCCAAAACCACGTCTGCCTTGCCTTGTGCTGTAATCCCAGGGTTTTTTGTGCCGAATCATTTGTTCCTAAAGTTGTCTCCTTTCTGGGAGTAGGCAGCTCCAATTATTTTCCCCGGATACAGCTGCATTTTTACCAAATTGAATCTTGTTTCAAATATTGCCGTGTTTCGAATCTCTCTGTGGTTTGTTATCTCTCAGGGCTCCAGAATGTGAGCCATCGTTCGGTTCCCCCAGCTAACACCCCTGACATGCTGGTTACTCCCCTTTAAAGAGGATTCATTGGGTGACACCAGGGAGGATATAAATATCAGCATATCCCAACATTGTTCTCAGAAAAGGTGCTGATGACCTGCTTGTTCCTGAGACGTACGTCAAACTGACTTTTTACATCCTCCATGGATTTTGCCATTTTATGTGACCAAGGTAATGCACTGGTCACTTTTATGATCCACGTTGCCTGCAGGGGCACTGATGCCAGAACACACTTTATTATTTTGTACCCCTTTGACCATATTGCTTTATTTTCCTGCTCAGAAATGAAGCAGTGTGTTCTCAGTCCCACCTTTCATTACACATATTTCTTTGCCCTCTCTTTCCACGGTCTGTGCTTCAGCAACGCCGTGTCTGAATGCTCCGCTGAAGCATCCTAGCAGACAGAAGTTGTCCAAGACCCGGAGAAACTGCAGAAAAAAACATCCTTTGTCATATCTGATTTAGACACTAGAGGGACCTGATCCTCCTGGGGTGGTCCAGACTGCTTGTACCTGTTCTGAACTGTTCCTGTGACTGACAGGAAGACCTGGCCAACCTCCGGAGCAACAATTAGCTCTGTGGAGGGCTTACTGGGCAAGGCCATGGGAACCAAGAGAAATGATTGCAGCTTTCTCCCTGCCAGGCTAGGTACCGACACCATATAAGCCACAGAAGGAATGAGTACCAACAACCCAACGGCTCCAGGCAAAGCCCACGGTGCTAAGGTAACTCTGCCAGTAGCACCCATAGCTTAGGTATGGTGACATACTCAAGTGTAGAAATGAGGAATCAGGTTCTGACTTCCCACTCAAGGTCTCACTTGTGTGTGTAAGTACAAAGGTTCAATAAAGCCTTTGCATTTAGACTTTATTCACTGGGAGCACTCAAACATCGGCATAAGTGCATCATAAAATAGACAAAGAGCTGTGATTTGTACCAGCAGAGCTTAGCATTTCCCGGGGTTGCTAAGGCAGATTTCCGTCATGGGTAATGCTTTAACATGAGAAAATATGAGGAGGATAGGGTCTTTTCTACAGAATTTCCCACCTTTGACCTCTCTGTCTTGCTGCCAGTAAGAACTCCAGCCCGCACTTGCAAGTGCCTCCAGATCAGCAGTACCTAGGCCACTAAATAAAACCAGCCTGAACTTGAAAGGCTTGATGTGCTTGCAGCACTCATTCAAATATCTAAAAACTAAGCCAGTTGTGAGTCTTAGCCACTGATTTCAGTCAGGTAGGTTTCCAATCCGATGCTCCTAGCGTCTCTGTTGCATCCCTTGGAAGGATTTCGTGCTTCCACACTTCTGCAGGACCTCAGGCTCCCAACCTGAATCACTGCCTCTGCGACCTAACACAGGCTCTGCAAATCCCTCAAAGATGGGCTCCATCTTTCCGTGTCCTGTTCATCCACGTAGAAGTGTGAGTGTGTGGGGAGTGTCACCATGAAAGGGCTTACCAAATATGCTGGCTTTTTCCAACACTGATAATTACTTCAAGCTGAGCACAGCCCGCTGTTCATCTAGTCCTGGATTGGGCAGAGTCTGCTAACTGAGTCTCGTGCCTCACAGTTTCCACTCTCCCTCCTTCTGTTTCAGCAAGGGTTTGTCACGGAAGAACCTCGCTCTCTCAGGCTTTGCAAAACATCCTTGGTCCCGTCCCAAAATAATTCAATTTCTGCTTGACAAAACTATCTAAAATACAGCAGGAGTTTGGTGGAGGGGGAGACACCGAGCATTTTTTGGTTTTTGGTTTTTAATTACATTTCTGCTATTTGAACTTGTAAGTTAAGTATAAAGCTCCTGCAAAGCAAGCCTGCCTTTGCTCCTGCCTTGCCTGGAAGGGGCTGTCAGGTCTGCTGGGGCTGGACCTGCTGCCCCAAGCCGTCCTGGCTGAAGCTCCTGGAGGAGCAGAGCTTGCTGCCCGGAGAGTCGGTGGGCAGCTCTCCTGCTGCAAACGCATGCATTTCTCTGCTGTTCTCCTTTGGTCCGGGGAGCTGCAGAATTTTTCTCCTCTTATGTAATGGTCTGCTGGTGTCTTTGCTCGGAAAAAAAACCGCTTTTTCAGCTGGAGGGTGTCAGGAGCCCCGTCCTACCCCTCTTGGGTCGCTGCTCGGGGAG